CCTCCCATCCTAACCTTACCTCACAAGGTTGTTGTGGGATTAATTGAAGACTGTGGGGAGAATCATGTACCCTTTGAGCTCCTTGAGAAAAAGGTGGGATGTAAATGCAATTATCAGATCCTGTTGTTGAATGCCACTGAATGGGGAAGCAGAAGATGGTAGTTCACTTGCAAACTGCTGCGTGCCTCTAAGAATTAACGTGCAAAGTTAAGAGAGAGAGAGAACCCTAAAACATAACAATTACTTGCCACATCCTGCGCCCATTTGCTTACTTGACTGCTCAAAGCTCCATCTTGCCCACCATTACCTGTTTGTTTCTGCTTGATAGGAATGGACAAAAACTCAACATCTGCTTAGATGTTGACACCATAGAGAAAGCTGGGTTACTTCACTGAGCAATACACCCAGATCGTTGCAGCCCTTCCTGTGAGGTCAGGCTGCAAAGCAGTATTTGCAGTCCATTCATAAGAAATCCATTGCAGAGCCAGGAATATTCCAGGCCCCTCTGGTTCAATAACTCTGGAGATAAGTGATGTGGATTTCTATTGGCAGCTGAAAATTTCTGGTTGTATAAATACTTCACTGCGATGGATAGAACTCAGTAGCAGTTAATTATTTCCTGTGTAAAACCAATACTTGGATTACTGTTTTAGAGCTTTTAGATAGACATTTCCCCAGATTTATCAGCTTCAAGACTATTTTGCCAGAGAGCTCAGTGGTAGCTTTTTCTGCGTGTAGTTGGCTCTGAATTGTGCATCTGCAAAGCTGTCTTGATATCTTGAGTAACCCAAATTCCAATAGGTTGATTAGCATCAGCCTGAATTTTGTTCACGCATAGTCAGCAGTGTGACTACTGTAGAAGAAGAGTTTGGATTTGATATCCGCCTTTCACTCCCTTTAAGGAGTCTCAAAGCGGCTAACATTCTCCTTTCCCTTCCTCCCCCACAACAAACACTCTGTGAGGTGAGTGGGGCTGAGAGACTTCAAAGAAGTGTGACTGGCCCAAGGTCACCCAGCAGCTGCATGTGGAGGAGCGGAGACACGAACCCAGTTCCCCAGATTACAAGACTACCGCTCTTAACCACTACACCATACTGGCTCTCCATACTGTAGGTGGTGGATGTTGGTCTTATTGTTTGCTCTGGGACCATAAAAACAGGGAGCACAGTTGTTTTTAATGTCCATGTATCCCAACTACCTCAAAGCCTAAAAAACATCATTGTAGCCTGATAGAGCTGAATGTTTTGAATTTTATGACAGGAATTTTATCCTCTCCTAGATTGTTTGGGAACTGCATGCTTGGAATAAGGAGAGCAGATTGTTTGAGACCTCTCAAGGGCATTTGATGAACCTAATTTTAATTTAAAAGGACTAATAGATTATTGATTTAAGCAGCAAGACTGTGCACCAATCGATTCCCAGAGCACTGTATGCCTATTCGAAATAGCAACAAAAATTATCATTGAGAAAATTGTGCTTCTGGCTTCCTTTAGAAACTGAAATGCTGAATCTGTACATGTTTGTTTTGAACTGACTGATTGGCACACGCTTTTCTGTCCCACTTGGGAAGCCTTTACAGATATTAAGCAACCTGTTCCTCTGGGCTACACTGTCAGTGTGGAAAGAGTATTGCAGTTGTCTGGTCCTGGGGATATCTCCTCTGACTCCACTCTTAGATAATCTTTTGATTTCTGTCATAGTAATAAGTACCTTCAATTTAAAGATTTGTGATCTATGGGCTTCTTCAGAATCTCAGGGCACCCCATTTCAGAAAGTGTTTTGAAGGAAAATGTGAGGGCCCAATTTGAACTAGTTCCAGGTCCTCCAAATTGATTTCTTCACAAATAGATTAACTGGCAAAGCGGAAGGAAGGACTTCACGGTATTTAAAGCTCCCTGCACTTGTCCTAACCAACACTTGAAGAGGTTGCTTCTGAGCATGGGCGTAGCCAGGATTTTTGTTAGGGGAGGGGCAGGCCTTTTGTTGGGGGAGCAGAACCTCAGTTTGTTATGTATTTTTGTCAATTTAGGGGGGCAGCTGCCCCACTGCCCCCCCGGCAGCATCCATTCTTCTTGAGATTTACAAATTGCTTATTGATGTGTCCATGTGTGACTTAAAGAGCCTCAAAGATATATGGAAGGGGGGATTTAGGAATTCAGATGGATTACCATGCCTGGGAAAACCTGTGGCCTCAATCCTTATTTATAACCACCTCGGATAAGATTTAGGAAGGAGGGCTCAAAAGTCTCTTGTGTTGGCACAAGACCCCAAGAGATGATCTCAAATCCACAAGTCCGCCTCATCTCCATGGTGGAGGGTGTGTGTGTTTGTAAAGGGATTTTCTTACATAGGTGGTGGGGGTGCCCTAAACTCTTTTGTGACTGGGCGATTAAGGAGATAATCCATTACCTGCCAAACATTGACTTTAGACTAGGAAAACCACCTCCAGTCTGCTTTTGGTGCATGAAGAATGAATCTCCTTATTACTGGCAGCAGCTAGAATGGAGATCTCTAGGTGCTGGAAATCAAGAAAGAAACCTTCTAAGGCGGGGTTAGCTGAATAGTGCATGGGGTAATGAGCATCTTACATGGCACCATAAAGTGGCAGAGGGTAAATCAGAGTGGGACCAATTCAAAAATACTTGGGTTTCCACTTCTTAGTTTTATGCTGGCGTATCCACCAGCATCAACCTGTGTGTGGAGACACTTTGTATTTACGGACTGAACTTTGTAACTGTTATACAGTTGTACTGTTTGTTGAAGTTTTTTTAAAAAAAAAAAGAAAAAGAAAAAAAGCTGTAAAAAAAGAACTCCCTGACATTCTGGAATTCTAATCAGCCAATGATGAAACGTGGGGTCAATGAAAAGACAGAATTTAAGAAATGTGGCAGATATAATATACCGCAAATCTGAATCGGTATTTGTTTTTCAATAGAAGAATGTCCCATGAGGCCAATACTTGAGTCTCTGTAGAGGTTTTGCTCTTGTCTTTTTGCTACATAAAAAGCTTTGCCATTTCTCTGAATCATCAGACAAACCTAGCTATTTTGCTTAAGGTTGGGGTTTTTTTATGCTTAAGGTTTACATCTATTTATGCTTAATTCAGTTTCTAGTGCGAATATAAAACACGTCGCAGCTAGAAGGCAAGTTGAGTTTTGTCTTCCACACGTAAATCATTCTCTTTTGGCAAAATAACTCCAGAGAGCCTCAGCGCTACCTCTTAGTGTCAAAATGCCCCAAGAAACAGCAAAATAAGAACATATATTGCATATCCACAGGGAATTGAAATAATTATGGATTTTAGGCACCAAAATCCTAAATATGTGTATAGTTTTATGGTGCCCCTATAATATTACTGGCAGTATCATACAGTTTTCTGTGACATTTTTTATGGTTGGTGCAGATGGTGACACTTTGAATCATGAGAACGTATGCCATTCTTCAGCATGTTGTAGGAATGGAGTGCATTGATGTTTACATCCTGGAAAACCTTTTACGTAATTGTGAAGATAATAATTTGGTTTTCGGGAAGCAGGACCAAGACCCAGTTTACACAGACATACATGGTGGACAGGAAGAGACCAGTGATAACTTCCCAGACCAAGAGATAGCCCAAATACTGCTTTCCATATGGTTTGCTCCACAACTCCCATAATCACTGATGGTTGACCATGCTGGATGGAGCTAGTGGGAGTTGTAGAAGGCACCACTTTGGCAATTTCTGCCTTAAAAGATAGTACCATGTTGTAGGTGGGTACAGAATAAAATGAGTCAGTGCCTTTCCTGCTCATAGAAAAGAAGATTAAATAATCCAGTCTAGTCTTCTCATCCTTCGTTTTCTAAGTTTGGGAGGTGTTCTTTGCGTGTTCAGAGGATTGTTCAAATGTGCAACTCTTCCCACCTTCCACTGTGGTTTTAAGTGGTGCAACCCAGAAAAACATTATATAATACAGTACAGTGGTACCTCGGTTTTCGAACGTCTCCATTGACGAACATTTCGGTTTTCAAACGCCATAAACCCGGAAGTAAATGCTTTGGTTTTCAAACACGCCTCAGAAGTCAAACATGCCACGTGTGGGCTTCCTCTGAGTACAAGATCCTGAGGCCTAGCTGTCGGCTATTGAGTTTTCAGTTTTCGAACATTTCGGAACTTGAACAGTCTTCCGGAATGGATTACGTTCAAAAACTGAGGTACCACTGTGCTTCTAAATACATGAGAACCAGAGATACACTTCTTTCATAATACCATCAGCATTGTTGCAAATTTGTTACTGTTTGTTCATTTGCCATGAAACAAGTGCATCCCTTTTATCTGTATTGACCTGAGATGAGTGGGCAGGTTTTACACGACAGGGTTACAAAGTAGGGGGTTCTGTGAATGTTTTGCTATTACTGTATTTATTGGTTGTGCATAGTTCTCTGGTTTCTGTTGGCTCTAGCCCTCGGTAGCTTTGGCTCATTTAACCAAAGGTTTGCAGGATGGGGAGCCTGTGGCCCTCCAGATGTTGTTAAACTCCAACTCATATCATCCCTAAGCACTGGTTGTGCTGGTTGGGGCTGATGGGTTTTGGAATCGAACAACATCTAGAAGGCCACAGGCTCCCTACCCCTCTTCTAGTCTGTTTGCTGCTGGAGTGGAGATAGGTGTGCGTGCATGCATGCCACCTTAAAATAAAATATATATTAAAATAACATATATAATGATATTAAGCAGAGCTTGCATGTAGTTTCCAATTTAGCCAGCCTATCAGAAAAAAATAGAAAGTATTGTATATATTGTGTTCCTTGATGTAGACTGTTGGCAGCGACGGATTTATGGCTGTGCAGGGCGGTTTTCCTGCATAGGGCGCCAAGCCGAGGGGCTGCAAAATTGAGAAGACCCATAATTGAAAAGATTGCAGTGGTTAGCCCAAGACTTTCCAGAGTAGACTTTGTGTAGGAGAAAGATTCAAATCATATTCTTTTTGTGGATGGGGATAGATAGATAGAGAGAGAGAGAGAGAGAGAGAGAGATATGTGTGTGTGTGTGTGTGTGTGTGTGTGTGTGTACACACACACACACACACACTCTCTCTCTCTCTTCATGGAAGGTGTCTTTAATGTCTTTTTTTTTGTATTCTAATTTGTCATGTTAATTTCTCAATTTAGGCCCTAGACCATAAAGTGTTTAATTTTTTGACTAATACGTGGGTTGCATTTTATTATCCCCTTGTTTACTGATATTGTTTATGCATTCTGAATATTTAATTGAATTAATGTGTTTTCAGTATTGATTTCAAAGTTCATTTGCAGCTTGGCTGTTGCATTTCTTAATCTGATATTTTGTTCACATTGATTGCCTTTTGAAATAATTATATTAATTACAGTATGATGTTGTTAGCCACCTTGACCTATTTCTGGGGGGACAAACAGGGTGCAAATAAATTAAATGAATGAAGCACTTGCTGGTTTTCGCAACACTCTACAAAGCAGGCGTGCAAAGCTCACCCCACAGGCAGCTCAGGGGATTTATTATGCTCTGCACATTAATGCTTCTTGGAAGGACAGAGTGGGCACATTAATAGAGATGGTTTTGAATGTCTGAACTGGCCCAATGTAATTATCTGTCTTAAATGTTGCACCTCCCAGAAAAAGTTACATTTGAAATGGGAGATCTGTTGCGTGGATCAGCTGGTGGCATATGACAAAGCCAATATCTGAATGCACTAAAAACGTCCTCCTCTTGTTTTCTTTGTAGCAATTGAAACTCAGAGCACCAGTTCTGAAGAACTTGTTCCCAGCCCGCCTTCCCCGCTTCCTCCTCCTCGTGTTTACAAACCCTGCTTCGTTTGTCAGGACAAATCTTCTGGATATCACTATGGCGTCAGTGCTTGTGAGGGATGTAAGGTGAGTCTCCAGGCCTCCCTGATAAACTTTGCTGGTAAAGTGGGTTGAACAAATTGGGGGGAAAACCTGGATCAAGTGGTCTTTTCCATCCATGGCCTCTGTTGTCCTGTCTGAGGGCTATTTCATTGTCTCCCTTCCGTTTCTTTTGTATCGTTAGCAAAACTTCAGAAGGGCTTATCTTCCCCCATCATTTAGTTCACACTAGCTCTCGTCTGTTTTCAACTTTTGCATCTTCCCTGAAGGCTTGGTACTTCCATGCTGCTTATTATGGATCACTTAGTTGAAGCCTTGTTGAATTGTTGCAGGCCCAGGGTTGCCGTTATGCAAACTCACAGGCTCCTTTCAGTTGCTGCTGCTGTTGTTTATATAATTTGCGTTACCCACAGACCTTGACATGGCGCATCAATAAAAGCACAACTTGAAGCGTTGTGCCAGCAGGAGAAGAAACACTTAGATGCAATAATGGCAAACTCAGTGGCTTGACGCAGCTAAAGTAAAATTCTGTTCTGAAGGCCACATATCACAGTGGAAGCTAAACATTAAACCTTCGTAGGAAACAATGTTTGCCTTTTTGGTTTTCAAACTTGATTAAGGATACCACACTTTCATCTTTGGGTGTTGTCTGTAGGAAAACTGGGTTTTGACACTGCAGTCAATCCCATTCAACTCCATGGGACTTCCTTTGGAGTAGGCATGGATAGGATTGTGCTGTAAGGATCCGGTCTTCTAGCCAATGCTGCTGATTCCATATAGCAGCTGTGAGTGTTACATGGCATCAGAAGCATTAGCTAGAATATATTGCATGAGTGTGTCTGTCTGTGTGTGAATACGCATGAACCTTTTGAAGTTTACATTGATTTGCTGTTGTCCTTGATGCCCAGTTGGGCTGGGTTAAAAAGTCAATATCTTGCTGTCTCTTTGATCAGCAGGTAGTTGTAATCGCACAGAGATCACTTGGGTGTGGGTAGGTGTCTAGGTAAATATATTTGGACTGAAACAACCAATTTTTCATCAGTTTATGACACCTGATGTGTCCAACAGTACCATCCTATGCATTGTTAGCTTCATTGAGTTAAGTAGAATTCACTTCCAACTAAATAGGCATAGGATAGCAGCCTGGAACATACAATCTTATAGCATCAAAAAATAGCATGTATTTTTTATTCTTTATCTTCCTGCCCACACATCCCAAATGCCTGCACCAACTGAACCTTGCAGAGATTCCTTTTACCTCTTGCCTGATGCATGTCCATTTTGCATAATTCTTCGTGTTCTTCTACCTATGATTTGCATTCATTTCTTGTTTTGCTCCTTCTTCGCCAACACTGTATGTAGATGGATAATTCTTGGAGCCTGCAGGTTGCTCTGTGCTTAGTGTATTCCTGCCATACCTCTTTCTTCCAAATTGAATTTTATCAAATCCTATGCTTCTGTGATGCTTTTGCAGACCGTGAGCCGTAGTAATCCCATCTCCAGTCAAGTAAACTCCCTTAAAAGCTGAAAATGCAGAGACTCTTCCTTGGTTTTGATTTCCGCAAGCAGTTCTATTACCTCCTTGGCAGCCTTGCTGTTTCATTGACATGCACCTGTAATCATTCTCAGGAGCTAGTCCAACGCCTGGCGAAGTCAATTGAAACACTCTCATTGACTTCAGATAAGGATATGAGCAGCTTCTTCCGCTTTATCACGACCCAAATACTCCATAGCTCAGGCTCTCCGCAAAAGCACTTGTCAGCAAATTGGTCTTCTCTCATCTTGATTAACTCAACCTCTTCTGTATCATTTTCCACCACCCCCTCGCCCTGAGATCTTGTCGTAAGTCGCTTTGTCTTGCAGTAATCCCTCCGTACTGAGAATTTCCTTCTTTTGCTCCACCAAACACTTTTCCCTTTGGCCTTCCTTAACCCCATCTTCATTGACAATAATTCTTCTTCAGCTGTTCCCTACAGCCTATTCTCATCTGATTTTGTGCAACTCTATCTTCCGAGCATGGAATATTTTAAAACCTGCAATAAAACGCCATATGGTGTTAATGAGGCTGTGTGAATAATGGCTAGGAATAAATTGTATTATTTTTCAATCCCTGACATTAATATGCCCGCAGTTTACCAGGATGTATTGAAAATGTTGGACACCAGATTGCTTAAATATCCAAATTAGATCATTGGGAAGAAGTGAATTGGTGAGTTATTAGTACATCTTCAAGGTTAAAAACTGTATTTTAAGTTAGGATTCCCAAAAGCACGGCAGATTTTTGAAAACTGCAACTTCGTGTTCATTCCTAGGGAATCAGCAGAACTGTGCTTTCTTGTGGGCCCTGTTTATTTGCTATTTTTCTATTATGTTTATTTCCTGCCTTTCCTCCAAAGAGCTAAAGGTGGCACACATTATTCTCACAACAACCCTCTGAGGTAGTGTAAACCGAAGAACAAGTACTTCCTCAAGGTCATTGCTCCCCAAATAGCTTAATGCCTGAGTCAGAATTTGAACCCTGGTCTCCCAGATGCTAGCCCAACTCTCTATCCACTACCTCACCCATTATCAGGGTTAGTACAGAAGGTAATTTGTAGGAAGGGCTGAAGGAATGTGCCTCTGAGAAAAGTCATTCGGAAAACAGGAAGTCAGAACATTGGTCCAACCAGCTCTCTAGGGTTTCAGGCAGGAAGCAGTCACAGCCTTCACGGGAGATGCCAGAGATTGAACCTTGGGCATTCTGCATGCAAAGCAAATGCTCTACCACTGAGCTATGACTTTTGCATTTAGGTCCATTGTTTGCATATGCATGTAAGGTAAAAGGTAAAGGACCCCTGGATGGCTAAGTCCAGTCAAAGGCAACTATGGGGTTGTGGCACTCATCTTGCTTTCAGGCAGAGGGAGCCGGTGTTTGTCCACAGACAGCTTTCCGGGTCATGTGGCCAGCATGACTAAACTGCTTCTGGCGCAACAGGACACCGTGGTGGAAGCCAGAGCACACAGAAACGCCGTTTACCTTCCCGCCACAGCGGTACCTATTTATCTACTTGCACTGGCGTGCTTTCAAACTGCTAGCTTGTCAGGAGCTGGGACAGAGCATCGGGAGCTCACTCCGTTGTGGGGATTCGAACTGCCAACCTTCTGATTAGCAGGCCCAAGAGGCTCAGTGGTTTAGACCACAGCGCCACCCGCATCCCTATATGCATGTAACATCGTTCATGAATCCCTACCATTCATGATCTGGGTGCTGATGCATGCAACCCAAGTGCTCCTGCTTTATTTATTTATTTGTTTAATTATATGCTGCCCATCCAACTGGGTTGCCCCAGCCACTCTGGGCAGCTCCTATTCTGTAAGCACAAGCATATCCATTTAGCGTTGGAAAGAATATTACCATATTCTAATATGCTAAGGAGATTCTGAGTAAACATGAGGAAGAACTTTCAGATGGTAAGCACTGTTCGACAGTGGAGTGGACTTGGCTGCAGGTGGTGAACTCTCCTTCCTTAGTGGTTTTTAGGCAGAGGTTGGACGGCCGTCTCATGGATGCTTCAGTTGAGATTCCTGCATTGCAGGGGGTTGGACTAGATGCCCTGTAGGATCCCTTCCAACTCTGTGATTCTGTGTCAAGCTAATATCCTAGATAGAGACAGCGTGTTCCAGAGGCTGTTTCATTCTGGTCCGCTTTTTGACCTTCAGCTTGTGGGGGGGGGGGATTAAAACGCTGGTCTCAGCAGTTGTAAAGCTCTTCCTGAAAGCCCCACTCTTTGCTACTGACTTTACTCTTCATTGTAGCAGCCTGCAAAAGACCGGGCCGGGGGGTGGCTTTGGGTGTAGTGGGTCTGCTTTCCCAAATAATGCCAGCATTGTGCTGGTGAATAGGAGCAACCAATGCTCTGGCAGATTCAGCTGTCTGTTAGAGCCTTGTCCCTTGTTCTAAGCAGTTAGAAGGCGACATTCCTTTGGTCGCAACACACGGCCTGGATTTCTGGCACAAGCTGTGTATGTAGCAAAGTTGCCTAGAGCAATTTAAGACAAAAAAGGAGGGAGAAAACTGCAGGAAGCACAAAGGATGCTCACATTTTTGTAGTGGGAGCCGGCAAATTTGTTTTCACAGCAGAGGTGCCTCTCTGTCTCTTGTAGATGGTTAGGGGACAAAACGCTCATAAATTCAAAACACAGTTGTTTCCCACACCAGTGTCAATCTTAAACAAAAAAGCGGGATCCCCAATGAAATATTTTGTTAATAAAGCTTCACCTAGGACAGATGTCAAAAGCAACCATGTTGCCGCATTCAGAGCGAAAGGGCTGTGCAAATTTACATGTCTGTCTGTGTTTGATGCCTCTCTATGCAGCCAAGTAAGTACTTTTTGTGTGTGTGTAAGTGTCTACTATATGGAAGGGATGCGGGTGGCGCTGTGGGTAAAACCACAGAGCCTAGAACTTGCCGATCAGAAGGTCGGCAGTTCGAATCCCTGCCACGGGGTGAGCTCCCGTTGCTCGGTCCCTGCTCCTGCCAACCTAGCAGTTCGCAAGCACATCAAAGTGCAAGTAGATAAATAGGTACCACTCTGGTGGGAAGGTAAACGACATTTCCGTGTGCTGCTCTGGTTTGCCAGAAGTGGCTTAGTCATGCTGGCCACATGACTCGGAAGCTGTACGCCGGCTCCCTCGGCCAATAAAGCGAGATGAGCGGTGCAACCCCAGAGTCGGCCATGACTGGACCTAATGGTCAGGGGTCCCTTTACCTTTACTATATGGAAATGATAGGAATTAAAAGTAATCAGAAGAGGACCGATTGGTTGGGTTACCTGATCATGCTGCAACCAGACACTGTCAGGGACTGGCTGGACAATGAGGTGCGGTAGGAGGCGGCAGCTGGGGAACCCCTAAGGGAAAGTCCAGAAGAGTAAGGCTCAGAGCCTGGGGATTGGTGGTGGGACATTGAGGAGAGGTCAGAGGGAGAAGATTGGGAGGAGGTGCTGAAGGGATAACAGGGGTTAGTGAACAGGAGGAACCTGCGACAGGGAGCAGTGCAGAGGAGGGGGATCAAGAGATTGTTGAAGAATCCAGGGGGTCTCCCTCTCCTGCCGTGAGAAGCTCCCCTCCCCCCAGTCTCGAAGAGCATGCAAGATTTGGAGAGCAGAACAGAGGTCAGAGGTGGGCAGATTGCTGAGAAAGCATCCAAGAGAGGAGGAGTCTTAGAAAGGGCTGAGGGCAGGACCTTCAGTCCTGGGAACTGCTCTATAGGGGCAGGACCTGATGGGAAGGTCTTCCTTATCTGTGAAGATGCTTTCCTAGAAGTCTAAAGTTTTGAACTCTAAACCAGATTCTGTCCCATCAGCTATCCCTCATCCATGCTAGGAAATTAAGAAAAATCAAAATTCTGAACTAGAATACCACCCAATGTCCTTGTCCTTGTCATGTCTACAGACCAGTCATTGTGCCTCTGGCCACGGTTCCCTTCCAAGCTAACAAAATTGAATTCCATATTGGACTACTAAATATTCCAAGGGCATTCTCCCTGGCTTGAAATATGACCTCAGGCTTTCCGTTTGTAGGGAAGAGCCATCAGTTTCCATAAGCAGTCCTGACAGATTAGGAAAGGGCACAGCATAGAATGAGCATAATATTCTGTTGTTTGCCTTATCATTGCACATTTCCAATTGCTAGGCTTGTACGTCCTGATATCACTGTTTAAGAATAGCTTTCACCCAACTTTGACAGCATTTGACCTGGTGTTTCAGGCTGAAGCATTCTGTTTACAAAGCAGCAAATAAATACTGCATGCTGTAATTCTTGGTGCAGTTCAAAGACAGTGGCAGGCTGTGTTGTTGTTGTTGTTGTTTTATTTATATCCTGCCCGTCTGGCTGGGTTTCCTCAGCCACTCTGGGTGGCTCCCATCAGAATATTAAAAACATGATAAAGCATCAAACATTAAAAACTTCCCTAAACACGGCTGCTTTCAGATGTCTTCTAAAAGTCAGATAGTTGTTTATTTCCTTGACATCTGATGGGAGGGCGTTCCACAGGGCAGGCGTCACTACCGAGAATGCTCTCTGCCTGGTTCCCTGTAACCTCACTTCTCGCAGTAAGGGAACCGCCAGAAATCATCATAGTGCTTTAAAATCATCAGACCTGACTTTGTCTTCTTTGTTTCTAGAAATAGGTCTCATGGAGAAAATTTGCCATTGCTTTGAGAAAAGTTCTTCCATGTCAGGGCTGATGATACCTTGAAAAGAAAAGGGGAAAATGAAGTTTATGACATGTGTCTCTTGATGTCAGCTATAATTTACCCAGTCCTAATAATAATAATAATAATAATAATAATAATAATAATAATAATTTATTTACACTCCTCCCTCCCCAGCCAAGACCAATAATAAAAACATGTTGATTAAAATACAACATTAGAACATTAAAATGCAGCCTCATCATAGGAGGAGAAAAGAAAAAGAAAAAAGAAGGGGGGGAAATCAAATTGGCTCCAAGCCAAAGGCCAGGCGGAACAACTCTTTCTTACAGGCCCTGCGGAAAGAAATCAGATCCTGCAGGGCCCTGGCCTCATGAGGCAGAGCGTTCCACCAGGTGTTGAAAAGGCCCTGGCTCTGGTTGAAGCTAATCTGACTTCCTTAGGGCCCGGGACCACTAGGGTGTTGTTATTTATGGACCTTGAGGCTCTCCGTGGGGCATACCGGGAGAGGCGGTCCCATAGGTACCTGTGTTCCCACTTGCTCAGTTCGTCTTCATGATTACTTACTGACCAGAGGTCTGTCATTTCATTTTGCTCTTTACACATCATCTTTAAACAAATTCCTGCTCTCCTAAGAAAACCCTTGCTTATTTAAATCAGGGATGGAGAACATGGGTGTCTGCAAGAATTTCTCCAGAGAGGTGAGGATTTTTCCAAGGGTGGGTGGATGCAAAGTAAAAAAAATATTGACTTAATTTCTTCCCTAAATAAGAAGGATCGTATCTGTACGTTTTGTCTCATGATCAGGTTCTACAGATACTAGAAACTTTTCAGAAATCCAATGTGTTCCACGTTTCACTGTGGGCCCAGGAGCTCAAGATTTGCAAAGCAACATTCTTTGCAGCTGCATTTATTTTTTTCTTCTGATCATTAAAGATGGACTCCTTTGCCCCCTGAATCTAAATCATGTTGGGGCAGATGTACATTTACAGCTTACTTTCCCTGGCAGTGAAGAGGACCCTTAAAGTAGGAGTGGATGTCATTTGCTGTCATTTCCCACTGCCCGATTAGTTTAGAAAAAGCCATAGGCTGCAATTCTCAAGTCACTGTGATAGTGCAAGCCCCATTAGTTTTAATGGGGCTTGTGACAGAACAGCACTTTGAGGAGTGAGGCTGTTAACATAAATAGCTTCCCTCATGAACAGGCATGGCAAATTTGTTTGGGTTTGAAATCCATCTTAAATGGCCACAAATCTAAATGTGGGAAATGTATTTGGTAGCTTTCTCCTGAATAAATGAGACTGAATTTACATTAGGGAGTAAGTGACCATCATTGTGTATGCATCAGCTCACACTAAAATTTCCGCCTTAAAAAAGATATAAGTACCAGAGAAGCATAAGTGATAAAGCTGCTTTTGCTTCCATTTTCACACACTTGGATCCCATTCTACCTCCAGAGAAGCCTGAACACATGAGGCTCCTGTGTGGTCTCCCATTCTGGGACTACTGGGAAGACCCAAACCAGCAGAAGTGGAATTACCTATAAGTGCCTTTAGACCAGGGTTCCCTGAACTTGGGTCTCCA